CCCGCGCGCCCCCCCCCCCCCCCCCCTCCCGCTCCCCGCCGATGTCCCGCTGGATCCTGGCCCAGAAGGTCCTGTTGAAGTGGGTGTAGATCTCCCAGTCCAGCCGGTTCCACGCCTTGATCCTCTCCACCGCCGCCCCGGAGAGCCGCGATTTGGCCCGGCTGTCCCTGGTGTTGAGGGGGAAGGAGACCACGCTGTCCAGGTCCCAGCAGAGCGTCTCCTTCAGCAGCACCATCGACTCGTCGAAGTACTCGGAGATGAGGAGCAGGTCGAAGGAGGCCTCGATGGCCCTCAGCATGTGCCGCACCCGCTCGGCCGAGGCCGCCCCGTCGGGGTCGCAGCCGAAGTCGAAGGCCATGAGGGTCCGGGCGGTCGCTGCTGGACGGGTCGTAGAAGCGGCGGGGCTGGCTCAGGAACTCGTCCAGGCTGCGGGCGCGGGAGAAGGCGGAGGCGCCGCGGTAGTAGGCGAAGGAGGACTCCATCAGCTGCACCGGGTTCCGCAGGATGGAGAAGTAGACGGCCGAGCTGGGCACCACCTTCTCGACCTGCCGAGGGGAGAGCGGGGAGGTTGGGGAGGCGGTGGGGAGGGAGAAGGGGACCTGCTTGGATTGCGGGGTGGGGGGTGCAGCTCGTCAAGGGAGAGGGGGTGTCAGGGATCCCCAGAAGATCCCTGACACGTACGTGGGAAGAGCAGTGACCAAAGCTCTACCCCGACATGCTCTCCCTGCTGGGTGACCTGTCCGGGCTTGATAAGTGTCCTTATCTCCTTGATGTTGGTCTGCGTGTCCTCAGGCGGCATCCGGGAGGGCGGATGCACGACCCAAGCAGATGTGCTTAAGGCATTTTCCTCCTGCAGCTGGTACCCTCTGGGCCCGGCCAGGGGGCCAAGACCTCTCCAGGGGCCCACCAGACAAGAATGAGATAACAGCTGCTGGCTGCTCCAGCTGCTGTCCCCTGGCTTGTCTCAAGTCACAGCACAACCATCCACCAACCCTGCTCACAGAAGCTCTCCAAAGATGCCCATAACACTAAAGGGCAACCCTCTCCCCCCACTAGCTCCATCCGTGGAGGGTTGATGTGCCCCCTGGGTGTCCCACCTCCCTCCCCACCAGCCCCTCTCCTCCTCCCCCTTCCAGCAAGGCTCTGCCCCTACCTCCGGCTGCAGGAACCGCATGTGGTGGCAGAGGATGTTGAACCTTTGAGGGCTCTGGGGAGAGAATCCCTGCACGAACTTGGCCAAGAAGTGGTTGGGGTAGAAGAGCTGGTTTCCCCCCCCGGAGGGGAAGGCAAAGGTGAGGTTGTGTGTCTCCCCGAAGCGGAAGAGGATGTTCATGACGGTGCTGCTGGCGCTCTTGTGGACTTTGAGGAAAACGATGTCAGTCTTGGGCTCACACATCTCCCCTGGAGAGAAGACCCCTCTGGCCTGATGTCCTTCTCCAAGAGGCAACTCACCACCCTTAGAGGCTTTTGTCCGGCTTGGGAAAAATCCCCTCTCCAGGTCTGTCTTATCCAAGTCCTCTGCTGGTGGGGGTTGAGCTGCTGAGGAGTGTCTGAGCCACTGGTGGTGGGGAGAACCTGTGGCTGGAGGCTGAGGCTGCACCAACACCTGCCTGGTGCCTGGTGCTGCTGTCCTGCCCTGCTCCTCTGCACTCCTGCTCTTTGCAAAGATGTCTGGGACAGCTTCAGCATCTCCCCAAACTCCCGAGATCCTCCCGGGAAGACTCAGAGAAGGACCTTTCCTGGTTGCTTTCCTCAGGCCAGGGAGGTGGGATTTCACCCTGCTGGGTGAGGGATGGGTGTTCACCTCCTTGCTGCTCTCCACGGGCTGCCATGTCCAGTGCTCCTCTGGGCTGCCTGGGCTCCTTCCCAGCGGGGTCTCCTGACTGAAGTAGAGATCCACCTGGAAGATGTCCTGCACGCCCTCGGTGGCAGCCAGCTGGGGCTTGACTTTCCTCTGCCACCCGGGGGGATCCTCCTCCCATAGCAGCTCAGGGCTCTGGAGGGCAGAGCTGAACCTCTTCTGGCCATGCTGGGTGCTCTGCTCCAGCTCACAGCGGCAGCTCCTGTGACAGGGAGGACATGAGGCTCAGCAGAGCTTGAGGAGGGAAGGAGCCTGCAAGGAGGGGCAAGTCCTCTGCAGCTCAACCAACCCCCCCAGAGCCCATCCTCCCATCTTTCTTGGGGTGACAGGATTTGGCCGCTCCCCTGGGAGGCTGGGGTGGGTGGCAGAGGAGAAGGGTGGGTCAGCAAGGATGTGCTGATGTCCCTGTCCCCCCTGGAGCACCTGGGGCTGGTGGGCAGGGGCAAAGCAAGAGAAGGCAGAGGGAGGGAAGAGCAGGTGGCCTGGAGAAGCTGGAGGAGAGTTTTTGCAGGTCACCCTAGATTGTGAGGATGGGGAGGGTGCCCAAGAGCTGTGGGGTTTGGAGACCAGCCAGGACAAAGCCCAGAGCAGCCTGCACTGGATCCAGAGTGGGCTCAGCTCTGCCATGGGTGTAGGGATTGGACGTGAGAGCCCCAGAGGGGTCTTCTCCCATCTGGATTCTCCCCCCTGTCTAAAGAAGATCCTGCTGGGTGGTTTCCAGGAGGATGGTTTTGAAGCCACCTCAGCAGTCAGCAAAAAGGCTGGAGGTGCAGGTTTGCAGTCCTGCTTGGGACCTACCTGGGAGGCTGCAGCTTCTCCACAACTTGCAGGGTGACCAAGAGGAGGATGAGGAGGCTGAAGAAGACCCAGAGCCGACCTGGCTGGCACCTGTAGATTGAATTCAGCTTCCTAGAAGGAAGCAGAGGTTTCAGACCATTGGGAGGTAGAAGAAACGTGTGTGTGTGAGGAGAGGAGACCCGGAGACTTGGTAAAAATGAGTTTGTTGGGGTTTTTTTTGGAACTCAGGTCACGTTTCCATGAGTGAAGAGCTGCAGGGGCAGCAGTAACCACGGAGCCTCAGGGGTTGTGCTCCAGCAGTGGAAATTTCCAGCTGGGGCACAGATATCACCCTGAAAGGTAAACAGTGATACCTGTGGGGTGCCCTGGGTGCTGAGGGACAGCCCAGCCCCAGCTCCTGCTCCAGCAGCAGCCACAGGCACCTCCTGCCCGACCTAGAAATAGGAGCCAGACTGGGAGAGCTGGGGTGTTCAGCCTGGAGAAGAGAAGGCTCCAGGGAGACCTTAGAGCAGCTTCCAGGGCCTGAAGGGGCTCCAGGAAAGCTGGGGAGGGGCTTGGGACAAGGGCAGGGAGGGAGAGGACAAGGGGGAAGGGATGAAAACTGGGAGAGGGGAGATTGAGGTGAGACATGAGGAGGGAATTGTGGAGTGTGAGGGTGGTGAGAGCCTGGCCCAGGTTGCCCAGGGAAGCTGTGGCTGCCCCATCCCTGGCAGTGTTGAAGGGCAGGTTGGATGGGGCTTGGAGCAACCTGGGCTGGTGGGAGGTGTCCCTGCCCATGCAGGGGGTTGGATCTGGATGGTCTTGAAGGTCCCTTCCAACCCAAACCTGTCATTCTGTGACTGAGGGGCAGCAGAGCTCTGCAAGGTAAGACTTGCTGAAATACCCTAGTGTGGAAGATCATTGATGGCCAGAGAGCCCAGAGTGGGACAAGTCAGTGCAGGAGTTGCTCCAGGATTAAGTGATGCTATTGGAAACTTGATCTGACTCTCCCACCACTGGATGTGCAGCTGATGATGAGTCTGCCTGGCCAGGCTGAGAGAAGTGGCAAGAAGGGGGTGAAGAGCCAACTGCCTGTGGTATCTACCAGCACATTCACACTCTGGGCAGGCAGAGTGATGCAAGGCTTCCCTGGCCAGCAGCACTGAGGCAGGTGGCACCTTTTCCTACTCTGGTGTCTGTATTTTGGGCAGATAGAATTCTGGACTTGCTTCCACAGAGGTCCCTGGTCGGTACTAAACTTTCAGGCTGTGAAAGGTCCAGGTGTCCTTGCTGCCAGCCTGCTGCCTCTTTGGAGATGTCTGTTGTGTTGGTTGAAGGACCAGCTGCAAACATCAAACACGTGTGGGTCTGACCAGGAGCTGGTTTTCCTCCAGGCTGGCTCTGCTGGGACTCACATGCATGGAGGAGACTGGAGGATGCCAAGAAGTGGTGGCACTGAAGGCAGCAAAACTGCCATAAAATGGCACAAGGAGCCTTTGTCTTGGAGGCTGGAGCAGCTGGATGGTTTGTGGCTGAGCAACAAGCATTCCAGAGGCTCAACTGCTTCCTGTGGGTAACTCCCTCACAAACCCTCTCATGGTTGAACGTGCCAGGATGAGACCATGGGTGTCTTGGGGCAGAGTGAAATACTGGAGATCCAACACCAGGAAGATGTCCAGGATGCACTGGGAGCTGGTGGGAGCCAGGGCTGCATCCTGCAGCATCCCTGGAAACGCCTCTAGCTGTGGGGCTGGAGACCCCCAGGGGGTCAGAGCCCTGCCACCTCCAAACGTGGAAAAGCAGGATGCAACCATGGATGCAGGACCCCAGTGCTGCCTCTGGCTCAGCAGCAGAGCCCCAGCAGCTGAACCCTCCTGCCTAAGCTCAGGGGGTTTGGTCCAAATCCAATGGGACGGTCATCTCTTTGGAAGGGATGGTGTCTCCAAACTGTGTCTCCTTTCCTAAGCTCAGTGGATTTCTTCCAAACCCAATGGGAGGGTCATCTCTGTGGAAGGGATGATGTTCCCAGCTGTGTCTCCCTGCTCTGCTCCAGGCAGGGGGGGCCTGGGGTGGGTTGGGGCTTGTTGAGCTCTGCAGGTCATAGCTCAGGGCCGGGTGCTGCGGGGGTGGCCCAGGCTGAGGTCAGCGGGCGGATGGGTGACAGAAAATGACTTCATCTCTTTGCTGTGGCCAGATGTGGTCCTGGCAGCCAGTGGCACTGCCCAGGGAACAGTGTCCAGAGGCTGTGCAGCCTCTGAACAACCATCAGAGCCCTTTTCTTCACTCACACCACCAGGAGAAACACAAGATGATGGCCCGTGGGGTGCTCGGGAGGAGACAAGAGGCAGCAAGAGCAGGATGGCACTGCCAGCTGGTGTTGGCACCCACCCATCAAACAGCTGGGTTAGGAGACCCTCCCAAGTCCCCCTGCCCCACAGCTGGGTGTGCAACACCCCGGATGCTGCAGGGATGTGGGGATAGGCTCTTCTGCCCCGGAACGTTCTCCCCAGAAACAAGGCTCTTCCACAAAGTCAAGCCCTTCTCTGCTCCTCTCCCATCCTTTCCAGATGAGAGCTGTGGAAGAGCCTCATCATTGGGTTTGCCTCGTGAAAGACTTGCCCACAGCCAGGTGTCTGCCCCACAGGTGAGGGTGCAGGGAGCAGGGAGCCCTCACCTGGGCTGCAGCAGGGAGGGATCAGCACCCTCCTTGGCCTCACCAAGGTCTTTGCTGCTCTTCTTCCTTTACAGTCTTGGACCTCACAGAAGATGCTGTTTTCCTGCCTAGAGGAGAAGTGCTGCCCTTGGAGCTTCACTAGGAGAGAGACTGAGTCCCATCCAGCCAGACCTCCCCACCCCTGAGCAGAGAAGTGCTTCCCTGCCCACTCCAACCACCACTTCCACCTCCGACTGGTTCTCAGCACCGAGGGCCCTACAGGGACATCACCTCTGGGTAAGGTAGGACTAAGATTTGTACTTAAGGAAAGACTGTTTGACTGAGCAGATGAACCCCCTCCCCAGATTAATACTGATAATTATAAATAAACAAGCTCCACTTACGTGACCAAATACCTCCTGAACCTCAGCATGGTGAGCTGGAGCTTGGCTGGGGAGCGGGTGGTTCTTGTCGGGCTGGTAGGATGGAAAGCAAACACCCTCAGCCTGGCTTGTGTTCCTGCAGCTGGTGGCTCCTCCCCGGGGATGGAGAGCAGACCATGGACCTTCCCACTCCTGCTCTGCTCCCCAGGGCCTGCCCCAGCCTCCCCTTCCACTGCCTGGCATGTAACTCCTTGGTTTCACCCATTGCTCCTGATGTCCTGCTTTGACCCCCTTGTGTCCACCTTGCTCTGCTCTTTGTCCTTTCCTTTCTCTTCTTGTGCCCTGCTCTTACTTTTGGAGCTTAGGACAGAGATGGTTTGGTCATGGGTGGTTAACTCTTGATAAACCCTGTGTTGACACAGTCCTTGGGGCTGTGCTGCTGGGACCCCATGTGGGTTGTGTCACAGCTGTAGGTCCTGGGGCTCATCATCCTCTCCACCACCACCACCCTGAGCTGGGGTTGCAGCAATCCCTGCCTCCCTCCTTTGCCTCCCCTTGCTTCTCCAGGAACAGCCTTCACCCACCTGCAGATCCAGGCTCTGCTGGACACCTTGGTGATGTTCTCCATCCCCCATCTTCAGGCTGTTTCCCCCAAGCCAGCAATGCCCACAACACCCCATGCTGGGACTGTGCCAGGATGACCAGCCCTGTTAGAAAGTCAACTCCAAGCACCAGCAGAGTGATGGTCACTGGATCTGCTCCTCGCTGGTGTCAGACAACCCAAAGAGGGCCTGGGAGGTTGCCCTCCATGATGGAGGTCCATTTGCTCGTGGTCTCCTCCCTCCTCAGCAGCTTGTCCTCCCCTTGGAGGACATCCTGCACAGCTCCAGCAAGACACAGCCATGGCCTTTCATGACCAGGGACCCTGGTAGCAGGAGCTCCTTGTACTTGGGCACCAGGCACCCCGGGGTGCTGGAGATGGAGGTTGTGTGGCTGTGATGAGCCATGAGGACCAGTGGCTCAGGCTGGGCAACACCAGGCTCTGAACCTGCCTCCTGGTGCTGCTGGAGAGGACCCTGCTGATGGTGCTTTACCTTCACCCATGCCCATGGGGCTCAGGTCAATGCAGACCAGGCAGAGCAGTCACTTCCAGCCCAGACCTGTGGCTTTCTGGAGGGACAAAAGGTCCTCCAGCTCCCTCCCTCCCCCAGCTGTTCCCCTGGCACGGGCAGGCACTGCCTCTCCCCGGCCACCTCATCGAAACCACAAGTTTACTGTGGAGCTGCTGGGTTCTCCACCCATCCTGCACTCCTGCTCTATCTGCCCAGGCTGGTGGCTTATCTGAGAGCCCCGGGGCTGGATGAAGGCCATGGGTGAGCTTGTCATTTGCAAGGATCAACCCCCTTGCTGCTGTTGGGACCCGGGGTTGGTGTTCTTCCCTCTCTTGCTCTCCAGACAGCCCATGGGATGGGTAAGGAGGTGCTTGTAGGACCTGGAGAAGGTGGCTGAGGGGTTTGTGAACATCCCCTGGGCAGGATCTCAAGGGGACAACCTGTTGCTGTAGGTTCAGTTTTGGTACATGATCCTGGTGAAGATTTACTTATTCCTGCCCCATCCCTGGCAGTGTTGAAGGGCAGGTTGGATGGGGCTTGGAGCAACCTGGGCTGGTGGGAGGTGTCCCTGCCCATGCAGGGGGTTGGATCTGGATGGTCTTGAAGGTCCCTTCCAACCCAAACCAGTCTGGGATTCTTGGGCATGACATGACCCATCTGTGGAAGAGGAAACTCCTGCTGGGACCTGGTGCCATGGAGCACAGCAGATGCTCTCTGCCTGCTTGTGTCAGAGGCCACATCTGCAGGACCTCAGAAGCTCTCCTGGGCTGCTTCTGTCCTGCTGCCACTGCATCCCAGAGAGGCTATGTTGGAGCATGAGCTGGATGAGGCTCCACTTGTGGAGGTGACAGTCCTCTGAGGTTGCACCTCATGCTGTCTTCTCCTCCAGAGGTGCTGGAGCAGGGGTCAGGGTAGGGGCAGGCAAGCACATCTCTTGTAGCCCATCTCTTGAGAAGGGAAAGGAGACTGTCTCTGCAGTCAGGTCCTGCTGGGGTGACCTAATGGGCTCCTAACTGTTGTGGACATGTGAGGAGTGTCCTGGTGGTGCAGAACTGCCCCAGGTGACCCTCACAGGAGGGTATCTGCACCCTTGTAGGTGGGTGCTCATTCTCTACCTGGGGATGGGCTGGTCTCAGCAGAAGGGAGACGAGGAGCCCCCAAGGCAGCTCATGGCTGAAGCCTCATCTCTTCCAATTCCAGGTCCCTGTGTTCCCACTCCTGCTTAAGACAGGGAACAAGGAGACTTCATGCTCCTTGCAGAGGTCACCAGCCAGCAGGGGCCTTCCAAGCAGGAGCAGCAAAGCCTGGTTCTCCTGTGGGCTGGGGTGCCAAGACAGAGCAGCAAAAACAAGGTGCAGGAGAAACGGTTTTCCTGGTGAGGAGGGGACTGATGTCCTTGCATCTGAGGGAGCTGGGGGTGTCCAGCCTGGAGACAAGGAGGTGAGGGGAGACCTGCTGGCTCTGCAGCTGCCTGAGAGGAGGTTGGAGCCAGGGGGGTCGGGCTCTGCTCCCCAGGAACAAGAGGAAACGGCCTCAGGTTGTGCCAGGAGAGGTTGAGGTGGGATATGAGGAGAAACTTCTTCCCCAAAGGGCTGTCAGGCCCTGGCCCAGGCTGCCCAGGGCAGGGCTGGAGTCCCCATCCCTGGGGGGATTTCCAAGCCCTGTAGATGTGGTGCTGAGGGACATGGGGCAGTGGTGGCCTTGGCAGGGCTGGGTTAGTGGTTGGGCTGGATGATCCTAAAGGTCTTTTCCAACCAGAGGGATTCTATGCTTTGTACCCTGGATGTTGCTGGATCTCAACAAGAGGTTTGTGTTTGTCCTCCCAGCAGCAGCTCAGCCTCAGATGAGGTGGGGAACTCCAGGTCTGGGACCTCCTGTTCCCCGAGGTCTGCAGTCCTTGCTGCAAAGCCCCTGATGGAGAGAAGCCTGAGCAAGCACTGGCTTGTCCCCCATGCCCCAGCAAACTCTTTGTGCAGCTTTTCTGTTTGCTTTTCAGACCAGTTTCCAGACAGACCCGTTCACGGAACGACCCACAATCATTCCCAGATCCCTTTATCCAGGGCATCCAGCTCCCTGTGTTATCAGCAAGGTGCAAGTTTGCTTTCCCAGTTGTTTGGAGACCTGTCACACACACCTGGGGCCTCTCCTTCCGTCGCTGGACACTTGCCCATCCATTAGTGCCCACCTGAAATGGGGTTTGAGCTGCTTCTACACTTTGCAGGGCATGTTGATCTCATGGGTTGTTCACTTCATCAGTTCTCCTGGCAGACTTGACCCAACCTGCCCATCCACACCTTGGAAAGGATCCTTGGGAAAGGATGCTCTGGGCCAACAGTGTCTGGTGGAGAAGTTGGGAGTGGAGCTTGGGAAGTCCTTGGCTGGTGCTGGAGTGCTGGGCTGGATGGGATCCCTTGTCCTGGAGCTTGTCACAGCACCACCCAGAGCTTTCCTGAAGGCTGAGGAGAAGCTGGACATGCTCAGGTGGAGGTGAGAAGCCCATGGTTTGTCCTGGCTCTGTGCTTTGTGGTCTGTGCTGGGACTTTGGCCCTCACCCAGCACTTGTTTGCTCTTCAATCTTGGTCACCTTATCAGAAGCCTTTGAACAACCACACACGTATCTCCACTCACCTTGGAAATACAGACTCTGCCAGTTCTTTTTGGTTGTTGGGTTGTTGTTTTTTATTAAATTGGTTTCCTTGCCAGAGACCTCAGAGAGATTAGAATGATCCCTCACAAACCTGGGCTTTGTCTGGGAGCCTCTGAAGTGCCAGCAGCACTTGGGTGCTGAAGGACCTGTGCATTTTAGGGTGGCTTTGACATAAAACCTGATCCCTGAGGGCCTTGCAGGATCTTCTGAACAATCCCTGATGGTCTTCTCCAGACCAAGACACCAGGTTATGTGTTACTGGGAGGACCTGCTGGTCTGTCTGTAGGTGTCTAGAAGCAGAAAGGAGAGAGGACAACCCAACCATGAGGTGCTACAGGTTCTCCTCAGCAGAAGTGGAGAGAGGCAGCTCCTGGAGGATGCTTCACACCACGTGTTGCTCTCCTGGCCTTGCCATGGACTGGGCCCAGTGAGTGCATCTCTCTTGTCCTGGGGAGTGCAGACTGGACCCACCAATCCTGAGCAGAGTGGGGAAGGAGGCTGCTGGAGCTCGGGAAGCTGCGTGTGACCTGGGGATAGAATCATGGAATCATTTAGGCTGGAAAAGACCTTTAAGATCATCGAGTCCAACCATTAACCCAACTCTACCAAGTCCCTCAGCACCACATCTATAGGACTTCCAACCACCTCCAGGGATGGTGACTCCACCACTGCTGGGAAAAGCAAACCCTGGGATAAGAGGTGAAATCAAAACGAGTGGGCCTGGAATTGGGATAGATTGTGGGGCTGGGATAAAGAGAGACGCGCGGGACACGGCTCGGGCTGCTCGCTCACTGCCGCCTTTCTTGGGAAGGTGCTTTCATGTCTCTCCAGGGCCAGAGTGAGTCTTGTACTTCACCTGAGCTGGAGGAGTGGGTAAGTGCTGGGTCCAGCCCTGCTTCTGCCTTGGCCAGCACCAGGTGGTGGAAATGGTTTTCTGAGGAAGCTTGGCTGGAAAAGCCACGTGGACTTGAGGACAACCAGGTGGTTCAGGCGTTTGCAGAACAAATGCCCTTTGAAACAAATCAGCAGGCAAACAGGGTGGGGACTTCATGGTCTGTTGCCACCTCCTATTCATGGAGAGCTTGATAGGGCGCCCAGATAAACGTCGGTGCCTCACCTGCTGAATAAAAACCAACCCACACCAAGATGGAGTGAAATCTAGGAGAAGTGTGATGGTTTCTAGGAAAGCTGCAGCATGGACAGGGGAAGGCTCAACAGTTGCCCCCAAGATGGAGATGGGCATGTTAACCTGCTCTCAGCTCTCACTGAGGGGTCTTCCCGAGGTTATGGAGGGAAGCTGAGGGTCAGTGTCTCAAGAGGATGGACAAGATGGGCTGCTTGGCTGGAGCCCTGGAGTGGGGAAGAGCTGCCCTGCTGGTTGAGGGATCTCTGCAGGGTTGTGCCACAACAAGTATCCTGCCTTCTGCCTCTGACAGCCCCACCAGAAGAAGGAAAACCTTGGCAGTGGTGGAGGGTGCATGAAGAGGTTCTGCAGGGTGTTCCTGTGAGGAGGAGATCACAGAAGGGTGTGTGGTATTCATAGAATGGTTTGGGTTGGAAAGGACCTTCAAGAGCATCCAGATCCAACCCCCTGCATGGGCAGGGACACCTCCCACCAGCCCAGGTTGCTCCAAGCCCCATCCAACCTGCCCTTCAACACTGCCAGGGATGGGGCAGCCACAGCTTCCCTGGGCAACCTGGGCCAGGCTCTCACCACCCTCACACTCCACAATTCCCTCCTCATGTCTCACCTCAATCTCCCCTCTCCCAGTTTTCACCCATGATCCACTAACAAGAACGAGCCTCAGTTCATCAGAGGAAGATGCTGAAGTCCTGGGGTTCTAGTTGTGTTGTCCTGTAGATGCTGCC